GGGGTGGGAGGTGAGAGGGAGGAGACATATGTATACCTATGGCTGATTCATGTTGATGTATGGCAGAAATCAACACAATATTATAAATCAATTGTCCTCCAATTAAATAAATTTTTTAAAAAGAAGTAAGGAACTAGACAGAGTGAAGTCAGAAGGGGGATAACAAATATTTATATTAACCCATACTTCCGGAATCTAGAAAAATGGTACTGATTAACCTATTTGCAGGACAGGAATAGAGATGCAGATGTAGAGACTGGACTTGTGGACACAGCAGGGGAAGGAGAGGGTGGGACGAGTTGAGAGAGTAGCACTGACATATATACACCATACACCACCATGTGTAAAATAGATAGCTCCCTGCTGTATGACACAGGGAGCTCAGGCACTGTGATGACCTAGAGGGGTGGGATGGGGTGGGAAGTGGGAGGGAAGTTCAAGAGGGAGGGGATATATTTATACTTATGGCTGATTCACATAGTTGTATGGCAGAAATCAACACAACACTGTAAAGCAATTATCTGCCTGTTAAAAAAAAAAAAATGGACAGAAGACCTGAGACATTTTTCCAAAGAAGATATACAGATGACAAACAGGTACATGAGAGCTCAGCATTGCTAATCATCAGAGAAATGCAAATCAAAACCATAATGAAATACCCTCTCACACTTGTCAGAATGCCTCTCATCAAGAAGTCTACAAATAACAAGTGTTGGTAAGGATGTGTAGGAGTGGGAACTCTAGTATACTGTTGCTACTGCTGCTTAGTTGCTTCAGTCGTATCCGACTCTGAGAGACCCTGTGGACTACAGCCTGCCAGGCTTCTCTGTCCATGGGATTCTCCAGGCAAGAATACTGGGGTGGGTTGCGCCCTGCCCTCCTCCAGGGGATCTTCCCAACCCAGGGATCAAACCTGGGTCTCCTGCACTGCAGGCAGATTCTTTACCGCTGAGCCATCAGGGAAGCCCAGTACACTGTTGGTAGGAATACAAATTGGTGCAGCTATTATAGAAGGCAGTGTAGCGGTTCCTCAAAAACTAAAGTAGAACTGCCATATGATCCAGCAATTCCACTCCTGGATTTTTTATTTCATTCTTTAAAATTGGAGGATAATTGCTTTACATTGTTCTGGTTTCTGCCATACAGCAGTATGAATCAGCCATAAGTATATATCTATGTCCCTTCCCTCTTGAACCTCCCTCCTACCCTACCTCCACCCCATCCCATCCCTCTAGGTTGTTACAGAGCACCAGGTTGAGCTCCCTGAGCTGTACAGCAACTTCCCACTAGCTAGCTGTTTTACATATGTTTTTACATAATGGTAATGTATATGTTTCAGTGCTACTCTCAATTCGTCCCACCCTCTTCTTCCCCCACTGTGTCCACAAGTCAGTTCTCTATATCTGCGTCTCTATTCCTGCCTTGCAAATAGGTTAATCAGTACTGTTTTTCTAAATTCCATATATATGCATTAATATACGATATTTGTTTTTCTCTTTCTGACTTCACTCTGTGTAACAGGCTCTCGGTTCATCCAGCTCATGAGAACTGACTCAGATTCATTCCTTTTTATGGCTACCACTCCTGGATTTTTAATCCATAGAAAATGAAATCACTAATTCAAAAAAATACTTGCACCCCAATGTTCATAGCAGCATTGCTTACATTGCCCAATATATGGAAGCAACCTAAAGTCTCAATAAGTGAATAGATAAGATGTGGTATGTATATGCAATGTATTATATCTTATATGCAATAAGATATGATATATATATGCAATGTATATACAATGCCATTAAAAAGAATGAAATATTGCCATTTGCAACAACATGGATGGCCCCTAGAGGGTAATATGCTTAGTGAAAAAAGTCACAGACAAATACTGTATGATATCACTTATATGTGGAATCTAAATATATATTAATATAATCTAATAACATAAATCTAATAATAAATATATCTATGAGAACCAGAGTCAGAGATATAGAGAACAAACAGCTAGTAACCAGTGAGGACAGGAAAGGGAGGGAAGGGCAAGGTGGTAGGGGATTAAGAAGTACAAGCTAAAAAATAAAAATAAAAAAAAGAAGTACAAGCTACTATGGATAAAACAAATAAGCTATAGGAATATATTGCATAGCACAGGAAATGCAGCCAATATTTTTTAACTATAAATAGAGTATAATCTATAAAATACTGAATTACTATTTCGTACTCCTGAAACTGACTCATTTGAAAAGACCCTGATGCCGGGAAAGATTGAAGGCGGGAGGAGAAGGGGATGACAGAGGATGAGATGGTTGGATGGCATCATCAACTCAATGGACATGAGTTTGAGTAAACTCCGGGAGTTGGTGATGGACAGGGAGGCCTGGCATACTGCAGTCCATGGGGTCACAAAGAGTCAGACACAACTGAGTGACTGAACTGAACTCCTGAAACTAATTTAATATTGTAAATCACCTATACTTCAATTTGAATAAGAAAAAGAAAACGAGTGAGTTAACACAACAGAAAATACCTTTCTAAAGTAAGAAAGAAACTTTTAAATCAAAAAGTAACAAAGATAAACAATTCTAGAAAAAGTGAAACATGAAAAGGTAGCAGAAAATACCTGACATATGGAATAAGTATCTGAAAAAGAAAACTAAAGCAAGGAAAAGAAATAAATGCTTAAAAGTAATATTGAGGAAACTTTCCTGGAACTAAAAAAAAAAAGATTTGATTTTAAAAAGCACAATACGTACCTGAGAATTTTGACCGAGAATGACCAACAACAAAATTCACATGCTAATAAAATTACTAGATTTTTTTTTTAAGAGAAGAAATATCTTGGATACTTTAGCAAAAACAGTAGGTGGTTTGTAAAGGAAGGAAAATTAGATCATCTTCAAACTTTTGACACCAATACTTTGTGCTAGAAGAAAATGGAGCAACATTTAAGATACTTGAGGGGAAAAAATGTAAGTCATGGACATTATATCTGGTAAAAATGACTTTTAGGTATAAATGGCACAGGTATTTATCAACATGCTGGAACTCAGGAAATATTGGTTCCATAATCCCTTACTGAGAAATTTGCTGAAGAATGAACATAAGACAACCAAAATAAGAGACATTGATATCAGGATTGGTGGTTGACATTAGTTACTTATAGAACTTAGACTAAATGAGGTTTAAAAGGGAGGGAGTAGAGTATTAATACCTGTATGCCATGTGCTCTGATAACATGGATATAGCATAACTTTTTTTTTTTAATGAAGAAATGGGGAAAGCACATGCAAAAAAAAAAAATGAACTATTCTCAGCAGTTATATTGGTAGCAGTATTGTTATTCCAAGACTGTGTACTGTGAGATAATATAACTGAGTAATTATTCAAATTCCATCAGCCTCTGTCTTTGAAGGCTAAGACTTTTAGTGTGGAAGAATACAGATGTACTTCAAAAGAATTTAAGTTAGAAACAAAACAGCCCTGTAGTCTTGAATATGAACTCATGAGGAATTTTATTTAAAAGTAAACATACACAAACACACTTTTGCTTTTTCCACTGATAAGACTTAGAAATAATGAACAGCCCAGAAGCAGTGAGCACACCTAGTAACTCAGTTTGTGTTCTTGAAATACCATTCCCATTCAAAGAAACCAGGATGTATTAGAGATAGCTAATTCCAAGCCTGGAAATAAATAAGATTAACTTAGAACATCTTGTCATAGAAGATAGGAAAGAAGCTTTACAAAACTACTACAGTCATATCAAAAAGTCTCAGAGGCCAATCTGAAGATGTTTCCACAGGCCAGACAGTTTGGCTTCAAAAAGGATAATTGCCAGTAGCAACTAGTACATCTAGTACCCAAAACTTGGTTTCTAATACCATTCTCCAATTAAAGGAACCAAGGGCTCTTTAGAGAAATGGGTAATTGTAGTGTTGGAGCAGGGAATGTAAAAGATGAACCTGAAATATCTTGTACTCTAGAAAATGAAGAAACACTGAAAAAACAAGAGCAAACAAACTATTGAGGTGTTAATGTGACACAGAGCCTGGTGAAAGAACTGTCACTGGCCAAAACTGGAAGAATGTGAGCAGGAAAATAACAGTATCGGATTATAACAAAAGGTATAGCCTCCTTATGAAAGTTTAAGTTATATGTATTTTTGTGTGATTTCCAGTATCTTTTATTTTACAATAAAAGGGTTAAATAGAACATATGACTCTTAAGCTATTAGAAGAGATGAGGTTCCCTACATATTTCATTCGTTATCATAGTGATGAGAGTATTTCTCGTGGGCAAATTCAAGGTAGCTAGGAAATGTTCCCTTACCTCACAGCAGAAAGAAAAAGTCAGTGCAAAAGAGAAATGGAACATTTAGTTTCATTTCTTTTGAGTGTACACTGCATGACAAGTGCCATTTGGACCTCACACCCTGTTCCAAACATGTGCAAAATAACACATATTCTTTTCTGGTGGGTTCAACTGCCCTGTGATATCCAGTTTTACACACAAAATTATAGAACTGTAATAAAGGAAATGAAAGGAGAAGGAGCAGTCACCTATAGTCAAATCACAAATCATAAAATCAAATATTTTTTACTTTAATGTTTTTGTCAGGCAAGTGGGACAACCACTATACTACGGAAATACTTCACTGTTTTTGATTTGCTGGGGTTTTGTTGGTCAGTTGGCATTTCTGTTTTCTATTGTGAGGGCTTAGCCATTTTAGCAAGAATTCTTTCCCAAAATAGAATTCATTTTGAGGGGCAACTTTTATGTGTTTGCCTTCTTATGAAAACAGCTCAGAGAATTTTGTCTTACTATTATTTAACATGTCACCTGTTAAGTAATATTAAGTACTGTCCCCAATTCTGCTTGTTCCAGGGTAGACAGCTAGCTATATTTTCCTTGTCTTCATGTTATGTGGTCGTGTTCAGAGTGGAGCTGGGTCCCATGACGGTCCCTCCTTTCCTCACCCCTGCTTTCTCATTTTTATGATTGGGCAGAGTTCAAAAGAGCAACTCAGCAACAAGAAGATCAGGAGCATGAGGAGGAAGAGGATGATGAACAGGCAGTCCGCAGAGCTCGGGAGTGGGATGACTGGAAGGACACCCATCCTAGAGGCTATGGCAACCGGCAGAACATGGGTTAGCCTCCCCACAACAAGACAGGACAACAGGGGCTTACATCTTCCCCACCAAGGACAATTGTGCCGTCTCCCCCACCCTGGTCTTCTGCTTTAGCTGTGTACAATGAAGGCAGAGATGCTTAGTCTTGCTTAGTGTTCAATAAAATGTCAAGCAATGAAGTGTGTATTTGTACCCTAAATGATAAGCCAGAAATCTTGTTTTGGCATTAATAATTCTCATCATGGTATATTTTAATTTTCTTAAGTGGAAAGAAAAGAGGATTGAGAAATGGCTCTGTATAATCAATCAATGGCTGTATGAATTATCTTTAAAAAAAAATAAAGGTCCCTTCTATCACATGCACCTGTGCAGAAACAATGGGTCTCAGCTGCTTTTTTGGGAGACTGGGGGGAAGGGGGTCAGCTATGGGTCCCTGGACTTATGGCAAGATCCTGGTCATCTCTCTTCGACATGGGCCGCGAGTTACCCAGCATCAGAGCTGCCCAGGCTAGCTGGAGCTTGCTTTCTCCTTCCTACCCTGGTACTGTGAACTAACCCAACACTTGCTTTACAGGAATGAGCACAAAAGCCAGGACTTTTCCTGTCATATGACCCTGTTTTCAGGAATTATAGCGATAAAGGAACTGACCATAATAATCCTATCTACCCAGTCTTCCTTGCCTCAGCCATGAGAAATGAGGAAAGAGATAAAGCACTGTGAGAGCCATCCTTGTGTGTGCATCTGAGACTGGAGCCTTTACTCTAGAATTATCTGAAACCCTTAGGGTAAAGAATAGTTGAGGCTATAGCCTAACTCTTAAGCAGGCTGCTGGAAGATCATTTTGGCCCTTGTTGCCTGTTCTATGCATAGCTGGCATGGTCCCAAGCAGTCAGTGTACTGTGGTGATCATTTTGCTGGTAATAAGGTACCTGCAGTCATGCCAATAACTGGGAGTGGACAAGGGGGGACGGCACAGATGACAAGGAAAAGTACCTGCTTTCTGCAGTAAAGAGAAGACATGTCCTCAGCTCCCGAGTTGATACCCTAGAACAGCAACCATGTGTTGAAACAAATGATCTGTATAGAAAACATACTTTTGTTCTATGTGGCTTTGGTACACTTAGATTTTCTGTTAAGAAGGTGACTCAGCCTTCCTATTCTAGCTCCTTCAGTCTAGCTTAGGAGAGGGGTTTGAGAAGGAGACTCAGTTCCCTTTCCTTTGCAAGGGTGGTATGTGGATTGCTGTCAGGCGATGAGTAGGAGGTTGTGTTTAGTGGCAGATGACAGAAAACTACCGATAATATATTTGTAAATTGCTTAATAAAGGGTTCATGTCACCCTTACAACATAAGCTCCTGAAACTGGTGGAGCACAGATTAACTTCTCCAAGGATTTGGGAAGCAAACATTCATTTTTTTAGTTCTCTTCCAATTATTGCCAGGCTGCCTCTAGCAATGGCCTATTTCCTGCCCTCCAAACTCCACCCTGAGCTCATTTCCCAAATGGACCAGGTTAGGGTTTTCCCCTTGGTCCGAGTCTATTTAAAGATGGTCTTTTCAGAAGATCAGCTTGATTAAGCCCCCTCACATTCTGATATCTAAGAGGCAAACTAGACAAGGTGGATTTGAATCCTGGCTTTAAAAGTTGAAAGCTGTGCGACCTTGGGCAATATAATCTCTGAACTGCTCCTCTGTTTTCTTTACATTTGCAAGTGAGCTGTTTCATGGGATTGTTGTAAGAGTTAAATGTATAACAGACTGAAGTGTTTTCATCTGAGCCCAGTGACTACAGTCTGTCCATCAGGAAGGGAAAGGAAATAGACAGATAAATATGGGAAACTGTTCTGTGCCAGGCACTGGAGCCAGCACTTTCACATGCTATTAACACTCACAGTGACCCTGCAAAATAGGTGGCATTGTCCCCATTTTACAGGTGAGAAAACAAGCCCAGAGAAGCTGAATGATCTCTTCAAGTTCACATGAGTAAGAAGCTCCGCTTCTATCATTTTTCATGTGCTTCTCAATTACTTGTGCTTTTGTTATGCATCTTAAAAGGGCTTAAAAAGGGAGCAGCTTTAAAAATCCAAGCCCAAACCACCACTTACACGTTATTGGAGCTCTAGAAATTCCTTTTTAGCTGACTCACCAAACAAAAGGTTATGCCAGCCTGCCTCCCCCCGCCATTTTCCCCTCAGAGGATAAGAAGACAGAGGCGGTGAGCAAACCCATCTTCCTCCATTTTCCTCCCCAGTTCTCTGCGCCTGCCAACCGGGCTGCCAAAAAACAAACAAACAAGAAAGAACCACCTTCTCACCAGAACAAGGCGTTTCAGGGTCTTAGAGTGAGTTGGGTTTGGTGGGCTCCGGGAAGCCAGGACTCAAAGCATTCCACAGATATTAATAATAGTAGTTTGCACTATGCTTATTTCATGTACGCTGCTTATTTCATTCTCACAGTCTGCTGGGCAGGAGATGATGTCTTCATTTTACAGGGAAGGAAACCGGCTTGGGGAAATGCAGTGAGTGACTTAGTTCAGTAACACAACTAAATAAATACATGGACTGTGCAAACATCAGTGCAACCAAAGTATTTGCCCTCTGTAGCTCTCACATGGAGGACAATTATTTAGAAAAGGTAAATACTGAGCACTATTTATTTTAATGCCATTATGTGGTGATTTGTCCTTTCCACTCATTCTTTTCAACACCCCTGTAAGAAAGACAGGGCAGGGGACTGAGTGAGCAGATTCCAAGCTCAAGAAATTGGAGTTAAGTGTTCTGAGTTAGAGTCTATCCTCTGGGCTCTGCTGCTCCCTATCCAGGTGACCCAGGCCACCCTGGTCACCAGGGTCACTGCTGTCATTTAAAACAACATGTAAATGATAAAGCTTTTGAAACTTAATCCACCTCTCTTGTGTCATCTGAAAGCCAAAATCCTCCTCTGCTTACTGTGGGCCTCCAGTTTGCTCATCAGCACAATAGACACACTGCCACCTGGTTCTGTCAGACACCCAAGACAGCACTGTGCCTTGCAAAACAGCTCCTTCCAACACCTGCATGTTGTTTCCTCACATTACTTTTCACCCATTCATCCAAGGTACAGTTTAACCTCAGCTCAGTTCCCTCACACTCCATAAAAAGGAGATGTGGGTTTTGTCAGATGCTAACAGTATCTGGCCTACTTACCTCACAGGCCAGAATGAGGAGTTAATGAAATCAAATATGGAAAAGCACTTTGAACAATTATAAAACATGGCACAATTATTTATAAGTTTGGAAGCCAGAGGAGGGGATGTATTTTTTTTTTATTCAATGTTTCAAAACAATAACCCCTATGCCCCCATTGCTTTGGGGTTCCCCAGGTGGCTCGGTGGTAAAGAAGTAAAGTGAAGTGAAAGTCACTCAGTCGTGTCTGATTCCTTGCAACCCAATGGACTATAAGTCCATGGGGTTCTTCAGGCCAGAATACTGGAGTGAGTAGCCTTTCCCTTTTCCAGGGGATCTCCCCAACCTAGGGATAGAACCCAAGTCTCCCACATTGCAGGCAGATTCTTTACCAGCTGAGCCACAAGGGAAGCCTGCCAATTCAGGAGCCATAGGAGATGCAGGTTCGATCCCTAGGTTGGGAAGATCCCCTGGAGGAGGGAATGGCAACCCACTCCAGTATTCTTGCCTGGGAAATCCCATGGACAGAGGAGCCTCGTGGGCTATGGTCCATGGGGCCACAAAGAGTTGGACATGACTGAGCAATAGAGTACACATATATCACCACCAGCTAAAAGGTTTGTGACATGCTTTTCTTTGTGTGCTGGAGATGACCAGCATAGGAAAGAATTGTTACATGCAGTGGAAATTGAGAACCGGTTTTTACTTATCTGCCCACCAGGTCATCCTTGACAAATGTTTGTGAAAGGATGATAAACAAAGTCTTAATTTCAGTTTCTTGTTCCAACTGGCAATAAATCCCTCCAAGAGAGTACAACACGGCAATGATTTAGGCTAGCCTATTCCTATGTGGGAGCACGAATAAAAAGAATAGCTGCCATATATTGAGTACCTACTGTATACAAGGAGTTAATACAACAAAAGCCCATGGTAGATCATATTATTGCCTCAATTTATAAATGAGGAACTTGAAGCTCAGAGAAGGGGTTTCTCAAAGATGGCTTGGTCCTCAGGGTTGAGCTGGGCCTGGATTCCAGGTGGGCCTGACTCCACAGGCCACACCCTTCCAGTCCACCATGCTCCCTAGGAATTACAAAGCAGGGGGGGACATATGAAGGTGGGTGAGACACCCTGCTCTGGGGATAACCACTCCCCTCCTCTCTCTAAATTTTGAGCAACAATTCCATCAGTTTTGCCTGCCAGGCCCTTCAAGGGCACATCTGAGACCTGCACACCAAGGGAACACCCCTGACTCATAAATCTCCCCTTCCTGGGGCCCCACATCCCTCAGCCTGTAGAATATTCCTGCTCCCAAGGCCAGGCCCACCTGCTCTCCCCTCCCAGCCCTAACTGATGTTGGTACAAGTAAATCTGTCAAACACTCTGTTCCACCCTCTCACCTAGGGATTCCTACATATTTTCTAAGCTAGTCAAAGCCCCCCCTTCTTGATCTACCTGGCCCTCCCAGGCCATGAGCACATGAGACTTTTCAGCCAGGGGCCGGGAGGGAGGATTTCTGCCTGAATTCTGAGGCCCTTCCACACTCAGCGACAGATACCATGTCTGCTATCCTGCTGCCTTGTCCTGGGCTCAGAGGCATTGAGAGATTGGCAGAAAGGCTCGTCACCAGCTTTATGGAACCTGTCATTTCCTTTCCTTGTCTACCTTCTGCCTAGGTGAGCTCATCCTGCCTCCACCCTCCGTGACTGACCACATGTGTGTTGATGGCCCTGATCTTTCTGCTGAGCTCCCTGAACTATACCCTATCATCTACCACACAGTGCCTCTTGATGAACAAAAATGCAAATTCAACAGCCTGGCGATGAACTCATCCCACTCCTCACTCCCCACCCTTCTGG